CAAGGCATTTCAATGTAATGCAAAGGGGTATCCACTCTAGATTATTGGAAAAAACTTAAAAATTATGAAAAATGTGAAAAATATATTTTATAGGTATCTACAAAAAATGCGCGCTTATGGGTCTATAGGTGGTTGAAAATATTCTTTTAAAAAATCCACGCTTATGGGTCTATAAGTGGTTGAAAATATTCTTTTAAAAAATCCACGCTTATGGGTCTATAGGTGGTTGAAAATATTCTTTTAAAAAATCCACGCTTATGGGTCTATAGGTGGTTGAAAATATTCTTTTAAAAAATCCACGCTTATGGGTCTATAGGTGGTTGAAAATATTCTTTTAAAAAATCCACGCTTATGGGTCTATAGGTGGTTGAAAATATTCTTTTAAAAAATCCACGCTTATGGGTCTATAGGTGGTTGAAAATATTCTTTTAAAAAATCCACGCTTATGGGTCTATAGGTGGTTGAAAATATTCTTTTAAAAAATCCACGCTTATGGGTCTATAGGTGGTTGAAAATATTCTTTTAAAAAATCCACGCTTATGGGTCTATAGGTGGTTGAAAATATTCTTTTAAAAAATCCACGCTTATGGGTCTATAGGTGGTTGAAAATATTCTTTTAAAAAATCCACGCTTATGGGTCTATAGGTGGTTGAAAATATTCTTTTAAAAAATCCACGCTTATGGGTCTATAGGTGGTTGAAAATATTCTTTTAAAAAATCCACGCTTATGGGTCTATAGGTGGTTGAAAATATTCTTTTAAAAAAAATCCACGCTTATGGGTCTATAGGTGGTTGAAAATATTCTTTTAAAAAATCCACGCTTATGGGTCTATAGGTGGTTGAAAATATTCTTTTAAAAAATCCACGCTTATGGGTCTATAGGTGGTTGAAAATATTCTTTTAAAAAATCCACGCTTATGGGTCTATAGGTGGTTGAAAATATTCTTTTAAAAAATCCACGCTTATGGGTCTATAGGTGGTTGAAAATATTCTTTTAAAAAATCCACGCTTATGGGTCTATAGGTGGTTGAAAATATTCTTTTAAAAAATCCACGCTTATGGGTCTATAGGTGGTTGAAAATATTCTTTTAAAAAATCCACGCTTATGGGTCAATAGGTGGTTGAAAATATTCTTTTAAAAAATCCACGCTTATGGGTCTATAGGTGGTTGAAAATATTCTTTTAAAAAATCCACGCTTATGGGTCTATAGGTGGTTGAAAATATTCTTTTAAAAACTCCACGCTTATGGGTCTACGCTTATGGGTCTATAGGTGGTTGAAAATATTCTTTAAAAAAAATCCACGTTTATGCTTATTCTTTTGCCCGATCTCCCTCTCCATGTAAAATTTCATCACCTAAATATCAACCGATCGACTCAGCTAGTCGAGATATGACGATCGGTATACTTAAAGGTGGGTCTAGGGCCAATATTTCTCGGCGTTACAAACTCTTGGGGCTGCACAAAACTATAATACCCTGACAACATAGTTGTGTAGGGTATAAATATTAAAAAACACACTTATAGGTCTACAATTGTATTGAAAAAAATATTTAAAAAATCCACATATAAGGACCTATAAATGTATTGAAAAAATATTTTAAAAATCCACACATAAGGCATATAAATGTATTGAAAAAATTTTTTAAAAATCCACGCTGGTGTGTCTATAATTTTTTTTAAATAATCATATTCTTAACATATTTCTTAAAAAACTCGTGTCAATCGAAAGTATATCCAGTCCGTTTGTATTCCTCATAAATTTATAGCTCAAATAAATTAGTATTCATTTCACTGTTTTCTTTCAGTGTACCATAGTTATACACCAGCAATTGTAAATATTAATACAGCAGCATACAATTCCGCACAAAAAAAATACAAAAATAGCTTTACTGGCAACAACAACAACAACACCTTAATACTACTGAATATCTTCCACATTCTGGGTTTGAATGCATTTTTTACGCTTCACCGAATGTTTTGTTTCCTTTTTTGGGGATTTGTTTTATTTGTTGTTTGTTCACTTCAAAAATAACAGCAAAAATACCTTTCAGGCATAAACATACATATGTACATATTCAAACATTTGCATTGCTATAGGTGTTTCGATGTGAAAGAATAACATCTAAATTCAAACATGATTCAAACATTGTCCGCTGATCCGCACTCCTCGAATTTGCACAAAAAATTAAAAAATATCCACACACCAGGCCACAGACGTCGCACAACGAAAAATTAAAAATTTTTAATTTCTTTCGATCGGTGTGTACACCGTACCACACACGTCAAACATTGCTTCGATCCACACCGATCGAAAAGGTCCTGGAAGACAATTTGTATTTAAAGTGGGCCACACATGTCAAACATATATGTACAAATTTATACAATTTATATACAAATTGTCTTCCAGGACCTTTTTTATCCTATAAGAACACTAAAAACAACATTATGTTGGATAATTCGAACTTGCGGCATTATACATTCCATGATTGGCATCTGAGTGATACTACATCGAATAAAATATCTAACGAGTTTTATATCATCAATTCGGTTAAGAAACGTACCCAAACTTCCCAAAAAAGACAAATATTCTCGAAATACCGAATATTTGGGAATAACCAAAACATAGACCGATATATCCCATTTGCAACACCAAACACCATAGCATCTGCGAAAGCTTTGAAAGTTGTAAATTAAATATTACTATCTCTATCGTGATTTGAACAAAACCCTTACGGTACCCACATCTTTTAATCGTTTTTTTCATAACTTCATTAGGGTCTAGGTATGGTTTCGTCAACATAATGTTTTGTTAGTTATGTTCCCTTGTCATATGATTTCAGTTTGTTTGCCGGCAGTTAAGCCCAACACCCAAACGAACCCAACCAATTCCGTTCGGATAAACTAAATCGTAACGGATGCCGACCATTCCTTCATTGTTAAACTCAGTCTACAATGAATTGACAACATAAAACAAACAAAACAAGCATTTTTCACTGTCCAGACAGACAGGCTGACAACCAGACACTTCATGATTTGTAGTTACCAAAGCTAGTGGCATTGAATGTGTTAACTTATTGAAAATCGGTGGTATATCTAATTTTGGTTTTTGGGTAATCCATGGTCAGTCAGTGCTTAGCAAAGTGGTGAGATGTTCGTGTGAATAGTTTTGTTATATGTACTCGACAAATTGGTCAAATATATTGCTGACGAAAAACTTAATTTAAGTTGGAACGTTGGAACACAACAATTTATAGCAATTGCTATGTTTCCGTACTAAAAACTGGGTAAATTTTTCAAATGGAGAGAAAAACGAAAACAATTTCAATTAGTTAAAGATTCTTACAGTTTCGGAACAGGGAAAATATTAAGAATATTTGCTGGGATCGCACGATATTTTTACAAAATATTTGCTGAACTCAACAATTTGTAAAGAAAGAAAAAACCAAATAGTTCATCAATGTGGTTTTCAGGCTAACAAGTCATGAAACCAATGTGTTTTTCTTCAACAAGTAAAAATGCTCTAGAAAACGCCTCATTCTTCACAAACATATTCCGATACTAGTTCTCACATTCCGTCTCTAGCCGTTCTTATATTTTCTTTATATCCACAATTTTACACGAAACTGTTAGCATATTTGCCTACATGACCATATGTACGTATGTACATACAATGAAAATTTGGATGTCATTCAATGAGATGCCTTTTGTCTGGTCTTGTGGCTGTTGTATCTTTTAATGTAGACAGCTTGACGCTGTTCAAGTATAGTGCAAAAAATAGTTTTTTTTTTGGTTTCTAACAATGCAACTTTCTGTCCCCCTTCCTCACTGACTTGCCTCATACCGAACACCCCTTCTCATAGGAATGAGCATATAAACTATGTATATCGTGTGACAAATGTGTTGCCAGTATTTATTTTTAGTTTACCATGGCTGTTGCACAGCAAACAGAAAAAAATAAAAAAACCAACAAAAAATGCCATTCAATGATTTTTATAGTTTTCACAGAATGTAAGCCAACGGAGTGTGGTGGCAAAAGTTAGGGTAAAAAACTCAATCCTACTAAATTTAAAGGCAACTTATAACCTTGTTCACATGATAGACCTAATTTCATAGATGTTTGAAAAATATACATATTTATTCATGAATATATATTTCGTCCCCTTTCAGAGTAATAACACAGAGCTACGAAGAAGGTCTACCATAAGTTCTTCTTGCCAATAGCAGAAGTTCTTCTTACTTTTGTGAAATATCTGAATACATTCTTCTAAAATAAGAGAAGAATATCTGTGCTTCCCCCAGACGACCAGAGGTTTTTCTATCTGTGAAAGGGCGAACAACATTCTTCCAATAAGGAATATCTTCCAAAGAGCGACAGTGACATCGCTGTTCGATTGCTTCGTTTGAAAGAATACTTTATTATTTTATAAACTATGCAAAATAGCTGGAGATCTTTAAAGTCAAGTCGATCTTTGTTTCACGAACGAGAGTGAGCAGTTTTCATTGGCGATTAAATTTTAAAGCAGTTTATGTTCACTGGAACCTCACTTAAAGCCACTATAAAATTTCTAATTGGGTATATGTATTCATAAAATTTAGAAGAATGTTCTCTTAATCATCTTAAAAAATTAAAATCAGTTTACTGAAAAACAAGTGAATCATACTCCCCAAAGTCCCGACATTTGGGAGGAACCGTTATATGGTTACTATCTTCAAAAAATAGCAAATTATGGTCAATTCTCTTGAAAAAAATACACATACTCCCCGAAATTTGGCAGGTACTGCAACATAAGGGCTATGGCAAAAATTGAGCTAATATTGAACATTTTCAGAAGGCAGATTTAATACCCGAGACAAATTTAATATACACTGCACCTTGTGGTGGAGGATATGATTATTAATAACCACTTAGCAAACCATAAAATTTCTAACAAAAAAAAATATATTGTATTTTTTTAAAGAACTCATTACTTTGTTTGCCTAAAAACATTATACTTAATACAATAAACTTAAAACAATAACATATAATATATATATTACAGTACATGCTCTACATAGTTCTAAAGAGTTTCTCTTTAAATGGACTTGGCAGGCGTTCAATGAGTGACGTTGGATTGGCGGAAACAGTTATCAATTCATCACTACTTAACCAACCCAAATATAAAAGGTTCTGAAACAAAAAATAATAATTATTTTGTACAAATTTAATTCTTGTTATTACAAATTACACTTACCTCATAGGTCTTTTCCATTTTCAAACGTAAACTGTAGACTTTTGTCTCATCGTCGTCGTGGGTTTTCATTTTCTTTAATGATTTCTTTTTGGAATTTTCCACAACTGCATCTTCGATTTTCTCGCGGGCTTTGCATTTTTCCAAAACAAACAGCTTGGAATCATTTTGCATGACAAATATATTCGGATTACGTGGATCGAGTAGAATATTTTCTATGCAATAATATTCGGAATTGGCAACAAAACGATCAACATCGGAGCAGGTGAAACACATCTCCTCTAAGTCGTATTCAAATATTTTACCATCAGCAAAGGCAGCAACCACACGTGGCTGTTCGGCGTGTATACTCAGAGCAGTTGTGGCCGCTGTATATCTGGGTAAGTTAAGTAAATGTTTAAAATGTTTACCCTTATATACAGACCACACGGCAATTGAACGATCAGTGCTGGCAGCCGCAATATATGAGCCACACACCGATACTGTGAACAGCTTTATGGAGTCCTTAATGTGTTTACTGGTATCAATAAATTCCACAAAATCCAATGGCGGTGTAGTGGAGATATTCAAATCTCTTTCGTTGACATTTTCAAGCATTGCAAATATCATAATGTGTTTACTTTTACGATTGACGACGATCAAGCGCATTGAATCAGCTGTAAATTGTACATGTGATGCGGGTTCCATTTGTTCGGGTAGATCTTTAACTCGTATCAATTTTGTTTCACGTTTATTTTCATCACCACCCTCACCCCCTTCATCACTGGGCGTGCCAGGAACAAAATGAAATAGACGTATTTCACTGTGTGTGGAGTAGCAGAGCCAGCGACCATTGGGCGATAGTGTCGAGCAGACAATACGCTCTTCATTTCGACTTTTAAATTCTAAAAGTTTTTCAGGTATCGTAAGGAGTGATAATAGTTTTGGTTCTGTCTTAGATTGCTCTTGATGACCCAATTCTACACTGCCATTTGTTGAACCCATACGCCATATTTCCAATGAATGAGCATAACTTAATAACACAAGACGTTCGGCGGGTGAAATTGTTACACAGGGTTGCTAAAAGGGACGAAAATAAAACAAATTGAGTAAAATATTTAATGTTGTATATCATGGTATAATTATAAAAGGTAACAGCAAATCCCAGCTGATTTGATTCCAACGTAATACCAGTGTCAATATGAATTTGACAAATTATGTTTTTAAAAATCACCCAACAGGAAAATTGGGAACGCATAGAATTTGAAATTGTTCTTTATTAATGTGCTCCCGTATTCAATTTATTCAATCTGCCTGCTGGGAAAGTTTGAGGAAGCAAATCTTTCTTGAAGGAATAACTCGCTATTCCCAGCATTGTCATATGTGTTACCCATATATATGGCATTGGCTCAATTAAAGGAAAGATGTGAAAGCGATAGAAATATAAATTTGATAGATTTTCATTCATGTTTTTCAATTTTTATTTTGAGGATTCGAAAATATTAAATTTTCAAAATAAAAATAATTTGATGATAATTTGTTTGTTTGTTTACATTTTTCTGTCAAATGAGTTGACACTAGTAGAACTTACAACAACAAATTTCCATGTGGTTGTTGTATCGTTTTTTGTACAACAACACTTGCTGTTACCTTTTATTATTATACCATGGTTGTATATAAAAGGGAAATGGTAATAAACTAAATAGTGAAGGAGAGTTCTATACACCGTATTACATATATCGCAAAAAAGCTTAAGAAGGTGTGTCATGTAAATTAAAGAAAATTCTAATATAACTGGATCGCTTATTTAACTTTACAAATAAATAAATAAAAAAACGCTTCCATAGAAAATTTCTAACCGAATTTGCGAATTCTCCATTCTAATTGGTTGTAATTCGACATTTTAGGATATTGAAGAAAAAACCAATTGACAGATCTCCTTATAAAGGTAGTGTGTCATTTTAGGTATTTTGATGGTCGTAAAGACATTTTCCAACCAAATAGGACGTAATTCAAAATTTTGTTTCAATTAAAAAAATAATGAATACCCTAAGAGACAGATTACAATGTTGGTCCATGTTTAGACACATCCCTCATATAAGGATTTCGACAGATTTTCAGATCAGATTTTCAAGAGGAATTCTCTGAAATTATCAGAATGTACCGAAATGACCCAACCACTGAATTAAATATATGTATTTTTGTTTTTTTCGTGCTGAAATGTACAAAACGGCAGTTCTTCGGCCGGGTATTAAATAGTGGAAAAGGTATCCCTATGTAAGATTTTCTAAAGGAGCTACATATGTATCAAATCCATTCTCCAAACTAATGTTCATTTCTCTCTTTACCTTTAGAAATATTACGATATATTAAAAAACACACCTGCAAAAATGGTCCATATTTATGAATGGTTGATCGAGTCTTTGTTGCCGACGATATACCCAAATAGCCATCAACACCACCCGAATATATATTATCTTGAGCACACACCAACGCCTTAACATCGTGATCGTGAACACGACGTTGCAAAAATTTCACCCATCTATAATACATCATATCGTCACGTTTGATTTGTGTCTTTGCATAGATTCGTATGGTTGGCTCTATGCCGGCACAAAATAGCTTATCTTCTTCCTCATTGACGGCCACAGCCAACACATCGGCCTTTAATGCTTGATGTGTTTCCAGTTGTGATGCTGTTTTGCCATCCCAAATACTAACATGACCCCGTGAATCACCGGATATTATTGTGAAATCTTGAAGAACTTGTATCGACCAAACAATGGTATCCTGAGGATATTGCATCGATGTTACCGTCATTTTATGTATGGCATGTCCGGTACGTGTATCCCAGATACGTATGGCACCCATGGAACCGGTAACCAAGAAGTTACCCGTTGCATCAAAACGACAGCACAACACACGACCTTCTTGCTTATCAAACAATGTTTTGTATTGGAATTGATTGTCCTCGATGTTGAATATGTTGATGTAGCCTTCTTCTGTGCCAATGGCCATTTCATTGCCCTCCCGGTTCACATCAATACACCAGATGGCATTGCCCGTGACATGCTGTTTGAAACGAGGCTGCAGCGTTTGTAAATTCCACTCGACCAATTCTCCATTGAGACCAGCACTGAATAAACGTTCCGCCGACCAGGCTAAACCTTCAACCGAATTTTGTGGACTCTTGGGAATGGTACGTTCTAAACAAGGAGCATGTCGTACATCCCAGATTTCAATTGAGCCATCATTTCTGTAATTTGGAGCCAATTAAATAAAATGGAAACTTAAAAAAAGATTTCAATCAATACTACCTCGACACAGCCAATTTCTTCCAAATTGTATTGTAGGCCATACAGTGTATGGAACGTGGTTGCAAATTATAGAAACGTACATTGTGTATGTGTGTGCGACCCTTTGGCGGATTTTCACACTGGCTCACTCTTCTCATTTTCATTGCAATTTGATTTGGGAAAATTAATAATAATTTATTAAAACGCTTTGAATTTAAACAATCTTTCCGCAGCACGTCAAAACACGTGTATGTACTGTTTACGAAAAGCGGGAGAATGATAAAATGTCAAAATGTCATATGTAGCAGTAATAATCGTATCGTAAAAACAGGCAGCCTTATGCTGTGACGTGCGGCATATGTCCAAACATAAAATCATGGTACAATTATAAAAGGTAAAAACAAAACCCATCTGATTTGGTTCCAACGTAATACTAGTGTCAATATGAATTTGGAAAATTGGGAACGTATACAATTCGAAATTGTTCTTTAGTAAATGTCCTCCTGTATTCAATTTACTCAATCTGCCCGCTGGAATATATATTAGATAGATTTTCATTCATATTTTTCAATTTTATTTTTAAATATAATTTGTTTGTTTGTTTACATTTTTCTGTCAAATGACGTTGACACTAGTATAACTTACAACAACAAATTTCCTTGTGGTTGTTGTTCAACAACACTTGCTGTTACCTTTATTATTGTACCATGACATAAAATTAATATGTTAGCATTACCCTGCGACAAATTGATAATATTAAGCTTACGAAATTAAGAACAAGAGATCTCTACTTTTATATGTTGTTATTTCATATTTAAAGATATAAACATACACAAAAGGTTTTTATTTTTTTGTTAATTGGAATTTCTTACAATTTAATTAAATAAGAAAAATAAAGCGTAAATGAGTTGAGTGTCAAGATTACAGAACCTGCTTAAATATACACATTTTTCTGCGATAACAGAACAGTTATCAAACAAAAGTAAAAAAGAAGATTATTGCAATTAAGGAACATACCCTGGTACAATCAACTCCGCTTTACTGTAAGTCGCTTAACTGAAAAATATTATGATATCGAAGAAAGTAGTAAAATCTAGTAGATTCTTTCCGTACGGGAACAGACCAATAATCATGGTACAATAATTACAAGGTAGGGCAGCTTGAGGTGAATAACAAAAACGCAACTATGCACGTGTGGCCTCTTCCGCCAAAAATAAAATAAATATACGCAACAAGTATTTGTGTTTATTTGAATATTTTCTACACAAAACTAAAAACCCGAAAAATTAATGAAAGGTTATGATTTCTTCCCAAAATCCAGTAGGGAATACCATAAAATGTTTGTTTCATCCATAACAAAGTAATTACTTCCAGACGAACGTGTTAAAAACTTTTTTTTATTTCAATTAAAATTGAATATATTTCAATTTATTTTGAATTTGACATTCAATACACACATACACAATATATGTATTTTGATTTGATGGAACAAGCCACCTTGAGAAAAAATTGTAATCAGTTGGTAGCTGTGTCCTATCTTGTAATAATTATACCATGATCTAAACATACTTTCAGTTGAAATGTTAAATAATAGTTGGCAACGCAACACGTAGTAATTACTTTCTCTGTCCGATTATCCCACAAAACAATTGTTAACGATTACTTAATTACAGAATACCCGATACTTTGCCAACACTACCACAGTCATTTCGGCTTCTCTACTCAAATTTGACGCATCAATAGGAGATTTCTGTGAAAAATTTAATAATTTATTAATAAAATCCAAAGAAATCTCTTTAAAATCTGCATTAAAGTATTCAATAGTGTTTATTTTATACGTTTTAAGTGAAATATTGGCGAAAGGTATGTTTTTTAATGTGAAAAAGTCAATTGAAAATTTGCTGTAACATTGGGTTCTAAGTTTTCTTTTCTTTGTTTTCTCTTCTCACTTCTTCGCTACGGTATACGCTCTACACCTTCAACACATTTGTGCGTTTCTGTGTTTGTGTATGTATGCCTGTTTTTGTGCCATCACGCCAAATTTAATGAATGAATGTCAAGTAGAAGGAGAACAAGTAAACAAAAAAACGAAAGAGAAGCAGAGAAAAAGACGGTCGACGGTACCAGACACATTTCACATTTCTTGTTTACGGGTCGTTTGCAATACACCAACAACAACAAAGAACTACATTAAAGTGCGTACATTCTTCCCTGCGTCCCTGTGTGTATATATTGGAAATATATGTGCAAACGTAGAGTGAATAACTAATATTGTGTACAACTAATGAGAATCATGGCCGACATGGACGCCGTACACTTGGGCTTGGACGAGAACGAAGCCGACATTGCTGAGGAGCTACAGCACTTTGATGATTCATTTGATACGCGTAGCGAAGCGTCCGAGTCGGATTCGTCTTCGGACTCTCAGCCCAGCATAAGTTCCATGGCTTCGGAGAATTCGAATGAATCGAAAACAAAACGTAAGACAAAAACAAAGAAGTCCGATAAGTCGTCCAAGTCATCTAGCGAACAAAAGGTAGCTGCCAAGCGTTCGGTATCGCCCGCCAAGGATGCTGCCGTGAATGGTAAAAGCCCATCGAAAAAGCGTAAGGATAGTGGCAGTAAATCGGCTGAACAATCTAAGGACTTTATAGGTCCAATTAAACCTGACTCTATTGACAGTGCTTCCAAAAAGTCCCGCAAAAAGTCCATTGACGCTGGACCAAACACATCAACAAACAGTGCCAATGTTAGTGGCAGTGTTAAGAGCGATGGTAGCGACGACGAGAGTACTAACAAACCCAAGCCATCGGCATACGATAGTGATTCGGAATCGGAGAATTCAGACTCGGCAGCAAATATAAAACGTAATGGTCGCAAGACATCATCGAAAACTTCGACACCCGAAAAGCGAACATCATCGTCCCGGTCGGGTGCAAAAGGTGTTTCCTCTTATGACTATAAGACTAAGCTAAATTATCTATTTCGTGATACACGTTTCTTTTTGATAAAATCAAATAATGCTGACAATGTTACGCTATCGAAGACTAAAAATGTTTGGGCCACGTTACCGCAAAACGATTCGAATTTGACACAAGCATTTAAGGAGTCGCGTAATGTGCTATTAATATTCTCCGTTAATGAAAGTGGTAAGTTGGACACTTTTTTCATATAGGTATTTCGCATAATTTAAAGATAAAATTATCTTAAAACATTAGTGGTTTAGATAAAAAAACATTTTAAAGTCAATTCTTAGAAATGAAAGTAATTTTTGAAGGCAGAATGTGAACCATTTAAATATTTTTGGGGCTAATGTTGCCACTTTGCCACACACTACTTCTTTTCCGATATTTTGTCCAGGATGTCAATAAACAGTACAAAAAAGGATTGCACTTGTAATTATAGTCTGACATTATTCCCCTAAAGGGGGCGGGTCTCAATCCATCTTTAACCCGACATGATATACCTTCTAGAGGAAGTTTATCACCATCCTAAGAGTGATTAAATGTAACTGCGTGGATGATGATGATTTTCGGTACCCACTATAGTCTTAATCAATTTAGCTAATCAATTGAAGCCGGATATTCTATTCCATTTCTAAACCCTAGAAAACTATATTTCAAAAAAAAAAAAAGAGGAGTTGTTGATCTTTAAGTTTATATGAATAATATGCCGGCCATATGATATCCTACACAACTACCACTGAAAATTTAGTTTTTGTGGATCAACAATTCCGCTTGGATACATCGTAAATTCTCAGGTCATTTATTCACGTAAAAAGTAAATTAAATATGTAAAGATCGGTGGGCCTTTGACCAATATTTCGTTATATTACAAAAACTATGATTTCCCTAAATATTTTTATTATGTCAATCATGCGCCACTCTTCCCGATTTTTCAAAAAAATGTTTGTGTTAAAAAAGTTCCTATTCACTATCAGCAATTTATTTTTCTATTTATAGGCAAATTTGCTGGTTTTGCTCGTATGAGTGCTCCATCCAATCGTGAAATACCACAACCAGATTGGGTATTACCTTCGAGCATCTCAGCTAAAGCACTAGGTGGCGTTATTGAAATTGATTGGATCTGTCGCAAGGAATTGTCATTCAATTGCACATCACACTTGTACAATTCATGGAACGAAGGTAAACCGGTGAAAATTGGACGAGATGGTCAAGAAATTGAACCCAAAGTCGGCGCTGAACTATGTCGTCTCTTTCCGGAAGATGAAAAAGTCGAATTGACACCAATTCTACGCAAATCGAAAGCCACAGCAAAAATGATGCGAGAAAAGGGTATACGAATGGTATACAAGCCACCGAAGAGTTTATCATCGCGTGGTGGTGGGGGTGGTGGACGAATTAATCATTTTCGTTCTGGTGGCGGCAGTGATCGTAATCGGGACGGTGGTGGTCCAATGCGACACAAGAGATTCGGCGGTTCACACCGTACTTATAAAATGCCTTACCATCCCGGTGGCGGTTATAAGCGTGGCGGTTCTCCTTATAGGGGAGGTCCAGGTGGCGGAGCCAGTGGTAATGGACAAACGAGAGCCGGTGGTGGTGATGCCGGCCTTCCGCCTTGGGAGCGTTATATGACACCAACTGCAGCTGCTGAGGCATACTTGGTAGATTATATGCGAACAATGCACGGCCAGCTGCCTCCACTGCCATTTGTTCCGCCTTTTGGTCAAATACCACCACCAACACCAGGTGGAACAGCTGTTCCACCCCCAGGTCTACCAGCTTCCATGTATGAATTTCCTCCACCAGGCAGATACTATGATGGGCCACCACTACCCGACTATCCACCTCCGCAGCCAGCGCGTCCACCACCACCAGGTTACGATAAGGCTGGTCCATCATTTGAGGATTTTGCAGCTTGGAAACATGCTGGTCTACCAACAGGAGCACTGCCACCAGGATTTCCACCAAGCGCACCAGGTGTCACAAGCACAGCAGCCGCTGGCACAACCAGTACAACAACTAGCAGCACAGCCGGCGGCCCTCCAAACTCAACGTATCGTATTAACCGCAACAACGATATGAACAATGCCAATGCAAATCGGGCGCGTGATCGTCCAGGTCGCGGAAATGACTATCACCACCGCGGCGGCGGTAATGCAGGCGGTTCTTCACGTGCGCCAGGCGGTGGAGCTGATCGCGATCGTGGTAATATGCGCAGTGGGGGTGTTAGTGAACGCAATAGCGGTCGGTATAGCCGGGGAAGTCGTCGTTAAGTGTAACACGGAATCAATGAAAACAAAAGAAAATTAAAAAAGAAATCCGTATAAAAGTAATTAATGGTTTTACCAACAAAAAATTTAATTTTAAATCGGTTAATAGCGGTAATCTAATGAACAAAAATCAACAAGACAAAACACCCCTTCTGCGCAGGCCTTCCGATCTTCAAACAATGCAACAAATTACTTTCGCTGGCAGCAGATCACACCACACCAACTCTAATTAGTGATTGTATTTTACTTAAACATTCAAAAACAAACAACCAAACAACAACAAATCAAATACCTATAAAGTTCTACTTTAAATTGCAACGTATTCTCAACACATTGAAAAAGTGCATAGAAATCGAAATATTTATTTTTTTAATTCAAAATCACAGTTTTTTCTATTGCCCTCAGAGAGAAGAAAATGCTAAACCTCAACTGAAAAGAATAATGATTAAAAAAAAGAAATAATTAAGAGTGTGAAAAAAAAAGTTCTTGAAAAAATTATTAAGAAACTTATTTTTAGTATTTAACTTTATTTAGTTCTTTCCTACATCATTTTAGAACATTTAAGAATTACGAAAAATGAAAAATATATATTTAAAAGATAAAAAAATAATAATAAAAAACCCAAATCAAATGAACTTTTTATTGCAATATCCAGAAGAAGAATATATGAAAAGTTGGAGAGCGACTTGTGTTGTTGTTGTTACATAAAAGAGACTGACCACAGTTAACAATGGCATCCCAACTATTGGGGTGACATTACTAAACAAGAGACGTTTATTACTTAGCACTCTCCTCCTTACACCCCACCAAAGAAAACGAACATTTGTTCTCTGTTATTGCAAGTTCGACAATCAGTTGATTAGAAGAAAACAAACAAAAAATATTTGAAAAATCATAAAAAAAATCAACAAAAGCAAAAAAGTGTCTTAACATCCAGTGTATAGTAAATCAATCAAAAGTGATAATTAATTCTAAAGAGAAAATTATTTTGCATATAATTTTCCCCACAGGCTAATTGTGCTTCCTTCATATTGAAGTGGGCAGACTTTTCCAAAATACGTCTAAAAAGCATTGTTAAAAAGAAAATAAAAAATATATACTTGATGGACTTAATGATGACCTCTAACATGGACTTCAAATAGTTACAATTATATTTTACTGTTTAAATACAGAAACTCCAGTGTCTCACATACATAGATTTACAATACACCAAATGGTCCCACATATATAACAAAGATTAATCAATTTGTTTCCAAAAGTAAAAAATAACACTGTGTGTGTTGTGTGTGTGAATTATATTTATTATAAAACTTATAGATAAATCCTAAAAAATAATATAACAACAATTATTTATATCGTTCTCCTCAATATTGAACATGAATGCAATGCAATATTCATCACGTCATCGTCGTCGAATGACATTAAATAAAATGTAAATTGCCTAAAAAATAAAGTGGAAAATTCCCTACCAATTCTGGATGTAACAGCCCTAGGACTCTCCATTGAGGCGAAGTACCTCCGCACTATCCTTGACCAACAATTAAAGTGGAAAAGAAACGTAGAGGAACGCACAGAGAGAGATCTCATGGCGCTCTATTCATGCAAGAACTCTATAGGAAAAAGCTGGGGGTTACAACCAAAAATCATATACTGGTTGTATGATACAGTCGTACTTCCCATCCTCACCTATGGTGGCCGTCGCTTGGGAGAAAGACGCTGTTGCTCAAGATTGACAGTGTACAGCGGTCCGCCTCGCTTCTCATTTCTGGTGCTTCCAGAAGCACTCATCATGCTGCTTTAAATGCGATAATAAATCTAATGCCCTTGATTTAGAAGTCAGATTTCAAGCAGCTAGAAGTGCAATGAGACTCAAGGAATCAGGAGAGTGGCGAAACGCACACTTTGGACATGCAAATATCATGAACACGATACCGAATTGTGATATATCAATGAATGAACCTAAATGTAGTGAATACATTCCGCCCTACCTCAATACATTTATCAAGCAGTAAGTCCTGGGCGAGGGGGTTACCTCTAAGATGGAGGAAGGCACAGGTGCAGGGGTCTTTTGCGATAAACTATCCATTAAGAACTCATACAAAACTGAACAACAACTGTATCCTCTTTCAGGCAGAAATTCTAGCAATCAAGAAGACAGCGGAATTGGCCAAAGAATTATGACGCAATGATCTTGGACCAGTGACTATATTTGTCGATAGTCAAGCGGCCATACAGACTATAAATTCTAGGGCAGTTCGAAAATGCAGAGAAATTTTGTTAGACTTTGCTGGGTTACCGGACATAATGACATAATAGGGAATGAAATAGCTGAGGAACTTGCTCGTACTGGCAGCCGATCAACACACAAGTTGATGCTACTGTTAAACCACCTCTCAGCTACTACATAGGTAGAATCCATAACATCTTCTTAGATAAAACGGGACGCAGATGGCGGGAAGTAACCTCATGTAGAACTTCTAAATCCATCTCGGCAAAAAGGAGATAAAACTGACTGTAGGGATCATTACTGATCACTGTAGAATTAAGTCTCTTATTTCCAAGTGGTAGGTTAATGTGGTGGTTTACTGCCGTCTATGTGAGGACGAAGAAGAGACAGAAAGTGTGAGCATCTACTATGTAGATCCCCAACACTTTGCAGCTGGCGACAACACAATTTGATAGTTATGAGATTAACACTCCTTCATTCTTCTCCAATATAGAGCCAATCATCATTTATAACTTTGTCAATAGAATATCCTGGCTTAATTATAACATATATAAAGATATACCCTGCCCTTAAACTTACTCTTACTACTCTTCCATTTCCGGTTGATACACTACTTCTGGAACGTTCCCCACAAAGTGTCAATATGATGGAATGTCGGGTAGTATTTTACAAAACCTTCTTTAAATTCGTAGATTATGTCTGTAAGGAAACCTTTATACAACGCAATTCTAGACTGAGGGTATATATCTGTCGGCAACACCGACTGACACTTTTTTACTTGTTTGATAATGATTGGTCAACGATTAAATGAACCAGGGCTGGTCCGTGTGATAAAATGTAGTAAAATATTAATATCTTACATATTTCTCACTAATCCTTTACTAGCCCAAAAAAAAATACTGAACTTTTTTGAGCAGAACTTTTAAAGCCATCATACTAATGATGTAAAATGAATTATGTATGATAGGATATGTTTGTAGACATATTTAGACCTATTGGTCTGAAATTCGATATGTATTTTTTAAAAGCATAATTTTCATGTTCACTAATGGAAATAACGCTAATTGTTTTGCATGGGTTTCCGATTCCGGTTTCCTTGATTTGAAATTGTATTTTGTAATCTGAGAGTCGGAAGTTTTCGCTTTTACCTAGCTATTACATCATTAAAAAAGATATGGCAACATTAAAAACATTTATTTAATGAATGCATTCGTTTCAAAGAAAATATGAAGATGTTGTTTTAAACGATTACACACACACGCCCACACAGAGTTTTGTAATTAGCCTAATTATCCCTCATCAAATGTTTTTCCATCAAATGTCGTTGCTTTTTTGTGCTCCATACATAATTATCATAAATCTGTTATCTGTTCTTTCTGTTGTAACATTGTTCTTGTTTATCTAATATTGTTTTATGTCTTTCAGACTTGACTAAAAAAAACCTTGCCGTCCGTTTTCTCTTTGAAAGTGAAAGAGAGTGGGAGAAATTAAGGAAGGAAGAGGGATACACACAACAGTACAAACTGTTTAACAGACCACCAACAATGTTTTTTAGGAGAAATTATAGAGAAAAATTTCTCTGAAAAGAAGTTTGAAAATTATATTATTTAACGGCCAGTAAATGACAGTATTTATCCATATTGCTCTATTGTCACAAGATTTCTATAAGACGGGGGACCTCTAAGGTCATCCATAGAAATCCTTTATTAGTATTTAGTAGTAATAAGGCATCTTGAGATATAAGACGTCTTTTGTCTTCTATAAATATAAGATTTTAGGGTCATTTATAGACAGAGATGACCACTTGAGTCTCCTGTAGATAGCATACCTCTTGAGTTCCATATTCTTAGTAAAATGCTTCAAAGGGGATTCTATAAAAATAATACCACTTGGTATAAAGTGGAATTAGACCCATTGGATAATTTATTGATAATAAAACCCCCCATGGTCATCTGGGGTGCTGAAAAGATAGAATAATTTTTTTATGTGAAATAACTCTGTTGGTCTTTTGTAGATAGAAGGCCTCTTGTGTGTGTATTTTTATACCCTTCACCACACTGTGGTACAGGGTATTATGTCTTTGTGCATATGTTTGTAAAAACAAAATGAATCAAGATACACCGATGGTTCCTGTTGAGAATATGCATAGAATCACTTTCTGAGTCGATTTATGCATGTCCGCCAGTCTGTCTTTTGAATTTAATTGTAAACAAAGTACATGTCACATTTATAATCTGAATTGAATGAAATTTGGCAATAGTCACTTATTTGGCCGAAGGACGAACACAATGGAAATTGGAAGAAATCGGTTAAGATTTAGATATAGCTCCCATATATATATGCGTCCGATTTTAGGTAAATTGTGCAACAAAGTCCCTGAAAATCATTCGATTTGCACGAATTTTGACATAGCGTACTAAATTATGTCGAGAATGACGTGTGCTAAGTTTCGTGAAAATCGGTTCAGATTTAGGTATATCTCCCATATATATTTTCGTCCGATTTTAGGTAAATATAACACCAATGCTCCTTCATATCCTTCGATTTGCAGGAAATTACATATAGCGTACTAAATTAAGTCCAAATTTAGATTAGGCGAGTTTACTTGCGGCAAGTCTTTGTTTGTTGGAGAGAGGGGCAAGGGGTATAGAAATGAAAAAAAAAAATGCTCGTACCGACAATTTTCTGGCAATTCGTTTTGTGTATTTCGTATTTGTTGACATTTTATATATATTTAGTCTTGATTTAGATTAGGCGAGTTTACTTGCGGCAAGTATTTGTTTGTAGGAGAGAGGGGCAAGGGGTATAGAAATGAAAAAAATTGCTCGTACCGACAATTTTCTGGCAATTCGTTTTGTGTATTTCGTATTTGTTGACATTTTATATATATTTGAATGTGAAAAAACAACAAATAAAAAAATATTTTGGAAACCGAATTGCCTTGTATAGACGCATGGAGCAAGTTCAAAAGAGAACGATAAAAATTGCCGCAAGTAAACTCGCCTAATATAAATCAGGACTTAAATGTGAAAAAACAACAAATAAAAATTTTTTTTGGAAACCGAATTGCCTTGTATAGACGCATGGAGCAAGTTCAAAAGAGAACGATAAAAATTGCCGCAAGTAAACTCGTCTAATATAAATCAGGACTTAAGTCCCAATTTAGATTAGGCGAGTTTACTTGCGGCAAGTTTTTGTTTGCTTGAGAGAGGGGCAAGGGGAATAGAAATGGAAAAAAATTGCTCGTACCGACAATTTTCTGGCAATTCTTTTTGTGTATTTTGTTTGTAGTGTCATTTCAGAAAAAATAATTAAATTCAGAAAATATATGTTTGCAACTGAATTGCCTTGTATAGACGCAAGTTCAAAAGAGAACGATAAAAATTGCCGCAAGTAAACTCGCCTAATATAAATCAGAACTACTACAAGTCTAGTGTAATGTGTGTTAGTCCTGATTTATATCAGGCGAGTTTAGTTGCGGCAATTTTTATCGTTCTCTTTTGAACTTGCTTCATGCGTCTATACTAGGCAATTCGGTTTCCAAAATATTTTTTTATTTATTGTTTTTTCACATTTAAATATATAAAATGTCAACAAATACGAAATACACAAAACGAATTGCCAGAAAATTGTCGGTACGGGCAATTTTTTTTCAATTTCTATACCCCTTGCCCGTCTCTTCGGCAAACAAAGACTTGCCGCAAGTAAACTCGTCCAATCTAAATTGAGACTTAATTTTCATGAAAATCGGTTAATATTTCGATATAGCTCCCATATATAATTTCGACCGATTTTATGTAAATGGTGCACCAAGGTCCCTATATAATTTTCGATTTGCACGAAATTTGGCGTAGCCTACTGAATTGAGTCTAGAATGATGAGTGGTGAGTTTCATGAAAATCGGTTCAGATTTAGATATAGCTCCCATATATATTTTCGTCCGATTTTAGGTAAATAGTGCACCAAACTTCTAATGTTTGTTCGATTAACACAGAACGTGTCAAATTGAGACCTGTATGACGTTATTGCGTTTTGTTGAAATTGGTGCAGATGCTGCCATAGATTTCATGTATTTCGAACGGGTGTCTAAGTGAAATTAAATTTTTAATAGTGCGGCGTACCGAATAGCGTGTATTTGTCCCATGGTACGCAGACGACTCTAAATCTGCCCGAATGAAACTAAATTTATCATAGGTTTGAGAAAAACATGAGTATGTTCCTTCGAGGGAACATTGACATGCAATTGTAAGGATACATATGCGCAATATACCCAAAGTTGTGAAGGGAATCATATAGTCGGCCCCGTCCGACTTTTCTACTTTCCTTACTGATTTTAGCTGAAGAACCTATTGTGTATTCTATAAATACAAATATTATTTATTGATAGAACACACCACTTTAGATCCTTTATATGCAGAAGGGCACATAGGTATTCTGAATACTAATGCATTATTTTAATACCCCTATTCACATATAAATATCCCCAATAAATAGAAAATCTATGTTACACCTCTATAGATCTATAGATAGGAAAACAAATTAAAAATTCGTCCGAATGTCCTATAGCTTAATGATGTTCTTCATTAAGCTATGATCGTAGAATGTCTTGACTAAAAATATTTGATAATTACTCAAATTATTAAACTTTAACCAATCAAGCAAGGTAACATTTTATCGGACTGAAAAAATAAAACTACATGGACTGATATAGGAACCCATCCTCCGTATTGTATTATTATATTTCTTTACAGGTGACGATGGCTGGTTGATCTCAGGTTTCCAAACCAAACTCTGGAATATTGTTTTAATATTTTTTTAAAGAAATGTTTCCAACGTTTACATGATTTTACAAAAATACATAAATTTTTTTAGTACAAAAATAAACGAGTTTTTTATTGTAATAAATTTGAGAGAATATTCAAACAGAAATGCAATTTTTTTTTTACATTTTATGCAATTCAATTCATAAATAAAAAATGGATTAAAATAACAGAATAATATAATGTTAGTGAAATAATAATATTGTTTTACACATATTTAGGTTTTTGTAAAACTTCCTCATCGGAACTTTCATCGCTGTCTTGTAATTTGTTAATTTTTTGATTCGTTTTTATATCGTTTGTTGCGTTAGTGCTGGTACTTGCCATGTTATTTCTCAAAACAGGCGGTGTTGATGTTGTTGGCAATGAATTGTTGGGAATATTGCTCGAAATACCAGCTCTGGAACTTGAAGATGCCGATGGTGTCGTTATCAATGGATCTAGGAAGTATATTAATAAAATTTTTCTAATTTTCTTATTAAAAGATTTTTTTGTTTCGACATACCTTCATCGGTAAGCATACCATGCTGTCTTTCTTGTCGCTTGGTAATAAAATAAGTTGCACTATAAAATAATATGGGCAAAGCACAAATTATGCTTAGTGCTACTGTATACAAAGTCATATTGAATTCACGACGACAGCATTTTAAAACTTTGGACCAGTTATTTCTTGTACGATTCATCTGGAAATATATACAAGTAAAAAAGAGTTTCTTTTTTGGCCCGGCTGAACCCTTATACCCTACATCGTTCAAAATACGTTAAATGGGTCGGGACTTTATTTATCATGGATTGTGGTCTCACCAACGATTGCCGCTGGTACTGGGTTATTAAATCCCTGCACCGTAACTTTATTTTTCTTATTAAACCTTTGTGGCCCAATGTTGCCCACAGGCAACAAAATGTTTTAGAGCTAATATTTAATATACTGCTAGTAGACATATATACTTTGGATTGCATTCGTCAAGGCCTGTTAATGGACGACACATATCACAAGAAAAATGGAAAAAAATTCAAATTTTTGGTAAAGTTATGAGCTTTTTAATATGGAGAAGAGGGCAAAAATATGTACAGTACTAATTTGTGTATACAGTCCAAATTATTTAAATCGCTTATTATTTGAAATATACGAACTCTGCCGTCAGAATTATTTTTGATTCTTGTAAAACAGAATATAGAGAATAACTTAAAATAATTTGTTCGTCGATTTTGCATTTGGGTTTCTTGATATTGGGCTTTTATTTTTCAGAAAGAATGTACTGTATTTCCCGAATGCAAGGATGTAGCGATGTCAAAATTTGTCGATATCCTATCTAGAATAGTTGCATAAAATCTGTGAACAGAAAATTGTTCTATGATTAAGGAAAAAAATTCGGGGCTCAAAGGGTTAATATTTTCCATCATAGTTGATTATTTTAAGGACACTTCCCCATCCATTTTGATGCACGGAGGATCCGAAGATCCCCAAGGCTTCCACGAAGTGCCGAGAAAAGATCCGACCTAGTTTGACCTAGGTCAGCTCCACCCTGCACATCGTAGAAACCCCCTTCCCATCCGCCACCCGGGAAGACGCGCCTAGTAGAAGCCTTCGCGTCTACTCACAACTGAATGCTTCAAATAAAAAACAGCAACGAGCATAAATCTGAAATTGTTTGATCGAACCCGCTATACCAATTTACACCCGCATCGGCGGGAAAATGCCAAATCCGAGCAAATATCGGAAATGGAGTGGTACCGTTTTATGGGAGTTATACTAAAACGTAACCCTATAATGACAATTTTTGATAGGAAAATTTGGCACCCCAATATAACCTGAAAAAAAGATAATTAAGAGTCAATTCTGTTAAAAAGCCAAGACCCCAAAAAACTTAAAGATGGGGGTAGCGTAATATGGCGGCATTCTAAAAACTTGGTCCAATATTGATCATTTTTGGCAGGAAGTTTTTCTCAATGAAAATATAAAATTACAGCGAATTAATTTGAAATAAAAAATACCGAAAATTGGGATATGGGAATACCCTAAACTAGAGCAAAATATTGATCATTTAAAAAAAAACTTGCTTAATAGCCTTAAAAGTGGACCAATATTGAAAATTTTTGTAGGAAGATTTGTTAGGCACTGTTTTTAACTGGATTCAATTACTATTATTATTTTTTTTTTTTTTGAACAGCATTGCGTAGAATATGGTACCCCAATGGGCTGTATCTAAGATTTATGGGTCCAAAACAATAAACAAAATATTTTCCAAACTATCAAGGAACATATCACATCAAGTATGCATATTCCCCCCACATAAAATGTATATCACTTATTTAACTAACCATGTCCCTTATAGTGGAGAGTATAAAAACTTAGTCAGGGCCAAACTTAACGCATTTTAAGTTATTTCTACATATGTTTATACCTACCGAATCTTGAAGATCGAAGCACACTTTGCCGTTGTTATGGTCATCCATTTCCACATAAAAGTTATTTAATTCTTTATACTGCAATATACAATTCCCACACGGGTCTTCATGATGTTGTCCAAGACAACCATCCAATGCTGTGCTCAAATTGTTAAATGTTTCGAGATTATCATTTCTGTAACAATCTGAAAGTAAATATTTACATATATATATTTTAACTTCAACTTTATTATGCAGAAGACTATCATGCTGTGGAAAACAATTGTTATAAGACCGATGGCATGGCCTTACAGTACGTTTACATTTAACCGGATTTCGTTAACCCAGTGGGGTTCAATTGTCATTTCCTTTGCATATATGTCAAATAAATCCTCATAAAGTAGGTTAACCCGGTAAAAAGTTCTAATGTACAAGGAGTTTAAAACTCCTTGTACTTTATGAGGATTTATTTGACATATATGCAAAGGAAATGACAATTGAACCCCACTGGGTTAACGAAATCCGGTTAGGTGTAAACGTACTGTTAAATTTTGTAATATAAATGGGGAAATCCCCGAAATTCACATATTACGCATTCATTTACATTACCATCACAGTACGCCTTTGTCCATAGTTTATTCAATGACTCTTCGGTTGCTGCCACCAGATTAACACGATCCTTATCGAAATATTCCGCAGTACAGTTGGAATTATCTTTAAATGCCGTGTAATTTGCATCCATTAACTCGTATTGTTCTCGGCAACCGACACAAATTGTAACCGGAACGGAATGCATTGTGACACAATATGCGAAAATCATCTCTGCGTTAGCCAATTCTTTTAGTATTTTTTTACATTCATCGGCATTGCTTTTCGCAACAGATAATAGTATTCCACAAATTATTGCAATTTTAATCATTTTTAAGAGAATTTATAAAAGCGACAATGGCCCAAATCAGACAAACGAACCAGCGCAATGCACTGCAATGTTTAGAATGAAGACAAAGGGAAAGAGTCGATAACGATATCACAAAATCGATTTTTCATGTCAGTGGCCGAAAGATCGGTTCACAATTGTTTAAACGACGTTCACATATGAAGCAATTTAATAATTAAGACTCAATTTAGATTAGGCGTGTTTGCTTGCGGCAAGTCTTTGTAGGAAAACTGTGGGATACAAAGGGAAAAAATTGCTCGTACCGGCATTTATCTGAAAATTCGTTTTGTTTATGTCGTATTTTTGTTGTTGTAGCAGCCCTATTGCTTTTACACAATGGGCTGAGGTGACAGACATTGGCCGAGTAAAACACGGGTCGTTTCGTGTCGTTGACCCATCTGTCGTGGAAACGATTTTGTATAAAGAACAATTCGAAATTGTTCTTTATTAAATGTCCTACCGTATTCAATTTACTCAATCTGCCTGCTGGGAAAGTTTGATGAAGCAAATCTTTCTTCATGGAACAACTCGCAATTCCCAGCATTTTCATATGTGTTACACATATAGGTGACAATGGCTCAATCATGGGAAACATGAAATCCTGTGCTAAATCGATATAATTTTAATTACAACCCAGCTTTTGCACCAAAAAAAGTATATCCACAATGTAGCCTTTAAGGGCTAAGCGTGGTTTTATATTTGTCGGGATCGGGATCGGTGTTGAGAGTTTCTCTCTCTTGAGTGAGTAATTAGAGTTGCGCTATTTTTAATTTTGTAACAAGCGTACTTTTTGTTCACAAAAGGTACGAATAGACATAAACGTACCAAAACAAAAAATAGATTTTTTTATTATTCGTGAATACATTTACGCTTAAATTATAACATATATTATTTATGCAAATAACTGGTATAAATATTGGCCAATATTTCTCGATAATTATGATTTATTACCATTTGAAATAGAATTTTAGGTACCTTTTCGTACTTTTTTGTTTCTACCTGTGGTAATGTTTTCCAACACAATTCACAATTTACCACTGAGAGAGAAACTCTCAACACCGATCCCGATCCCGATCCCGACAAATATAAAACCACGCTAAGCAGAATACTCGCGTTGAGCCATCCGTTGCGTTATGTGTTATCGAAAATACAACAACCACAAGGAAACGATAACACAAACGCTCGAAGTTGTTGTGCGCTGCGCTTCGGAGTTTATATATTTTAACCTTTTGCGTGCGTTAAAGCGATAACAAAAAACGCTCAACGCGAACATTCTGTTTAGCCCTTTAAAGTTAGTAAATATTCAGAATAACTACCAAACAAAAATATGCCAACGGCTGAAAAGGTCCCTGCATGGATCTGGATTAGGCGTCATGCTGTAAATTTGGAATACAAGTTTATTGGTCTGTTCCCGTACTGCAAGAATCTACTAGATTTTACAATTTTCTTCGATATCATAAAGGAAAATTCATTATCGTAGTAAAAAATATTACAACTCATTTGACAGAAAAATGTAAACAAACAAAAATATTATCATCAAATTATTTTTATTTTGAAAATGGAATATTTTCGAATCCTCAAAATAAAAATTGAAAAACATGAATGAAAATCTATCAAATTTATATTTCTATCGCTTCCACATCTTTCCTTTAATTGAGCCATTGCCATATATATGTGTAACACATATGACAATGCTGGGAATAGCGAGTAATTCCTTCAAGAAAGATTTGCTTCCTCAAACTTTCCCAGCAGGCAGTTTGAGTAAATTGAATACGGGAGCACATTAATAAAGAACAATTTCAAATTGTATGCGTTCCCAATTTTCCTGTTGGGTGATTTTTAAAAACATAATTTGTCAAATTCATATTGACACTAGTATTACGTTGGAATCAAATCAGTTGGGATTTGCTGTTACCTTTTATAATTGTACAATGCACCAGTACTTTTTTAATAATAAATGGTCTATTCCCGTACTGCAAGAATTTACTATTTTTACTACGATAACCATTTTTTCCTTTATGATATCGAAATAAACTGTAAAAAATAGTAGATTCTTGCAGTACGGGAACAAACCAAAAGCTAGTAAATGAGAATAATGTTCCAGACTTCAAAATAAATGAAAAGGTTTGGAATGGAAATTGTCTAAATATTTTGTTTTGTGTTGTCTAAATTTGGATGAAGTTTTGTGGGCTGAGAAACTAGTAAAAAGTTGCAAATCATGTAAAATTCGTAGAAAGTTTCAGGAGAACTGATATAACAACCTTAATTAGAGTTTTTAGCAATACAAATTTTTCAACCAACCCTCTCTAAAATAAATAGCTGCTGGATATGCTCGAAGACATGCCTCTTAAATCGACTCGATTAGTAAATCGAGATATCAAATCCCATCTGTTTAAACTGGTATTCCCAATGAACGACATTCCATTCATTTATCGAGGTTTTGACATTAAAGCCCACGAGAAATAGATGTATTTCCTTAATTTAGTGTTTTCTTTTAAAGGTTAATATACTTGTCACATGTAAACCTCTATGACGCTTAACAATCAACATTCTATGAAAATGGCGTTGTTACATCGTCGTATTTACATTGACTGCAATCATCTAACGCCGTTAATCTATAACCCAACCATGACTTTGTTTTCCTAGCATAACCATTGCTCTCACTCTCTTGTTCTCTCAGTGAAAAATTTTATTTGAATTTGGATTTTGACGCGAGGTGGACGTGTGTTGTTGTGACGGTGTAATATTATTAAACAAAATAATTGTTAATTATTATAATGGATAGATTGAAAAACAAAAATCTGTTAAAATCGTAGCGAGCAATAAGAAAAACGACAAAATTTTTCGATTTTGAAAACCAAAAAAAAAGAGTTAAAACGAAAGAAAAAAAAACAACCCCTCTCTGCAATACTTGGAGTTTTGTCCTCAAGGGAGGGAGTTTTTGTGAAAAGAAGAGAAAAAAAAAACGAAACAAATCAAACAAAGCCATAAATTGTATATTCGAAAATCAATTATTTTGCCGATTGTGCAAAATCATATTTTGTTTGTGAGAAAAAATATCGAAAAAGAAGGAATTGTTATTTAGTGTGTACATGCAATTGAATAAAGCCTATCTATAGTCCTCCTCCTTCTCATCTACACCACCAAGCCCAGTGTAACAAAGGATATGTATGAATGAATGATGCAGTTGACTGCTCCAATTGGATATATTTCAGTGTAGACATCGCTACCAAAAAAAAAACGTCTCTGTACAAGGAAAAGGTGAATGGAATACATGAAATGCAAAAGCCGGTATTAAGTACAAGATCCCAAATCCAATATAACTCTATGTGTACATAGAATAAAAGTGAGAAAGGAAAAATAAATAAAAAAAGAATACTTATACGTACATATATAACACATATGTATGTGTGTGTATTTGTGTTGCAAAGAAAGGAAGGAATGTAAGGAGACAAACGCCACTCCTTTTGCAAAGAAAAGTTTTAGTGCAAAACAAAATAATTTCGCCACTCACATTAAATCCTTCAACTGCAGCGAAGCAAATCGATGGATTATTAGAGATATACGAATAGACAACAAATACAAAAAATAGCTTGCGACTGCATTTCAGATATTCTTAAAGAAATATTCTGACAAGCACAACATCAATTCCAAAGGTAAGTTATCCACACCAACAGCATAGGAATAGGTGTGTAATTTATCTCTCCTATCTCTCTGTATTCTATGTTCTATTTTATTCTTCATCCTTACTCCATCGGCATTTTATATTTTTTTTCGTGACCAAACCATTGAAGAAGATGTCGTCCGTAGTATTCGCCGCACCATCATTATTTTCCAACCATACATACATGTATGCCTCCTCTCTGTGATGGTGATGATGAGGATGATGATGTCTGTGTCTCCTCCGAAGAGGGCCAAACAACAAATGTAAATAGTGTAATGAATCCCGTTACATTTCTCTGACTATGCGCATTGATAGCCAACCCGTCAAGCAATCCGGAAACCAAATACAGGATTTTATATAATGTATACAGGATAACGATGACAAACAAACATGCGAACGAATGAACGAACACATATACCTATGTAACATTCTATAGCAGACTGAACACTTTTTATATAGGTTCTGCCATTATTGTTGTCTTTGGAAATTTCCAGGAGAGTTTTGGTAAAGATAATACAATTCAGTTATAGTCTCAATTGAATAGAAAACTGTTTTGCGATATTGCCTCGAAATTACCGAATATTTTATCGGTTATTAAGTAGTAAGATTGTAAAATGTTCATTATGACCCCACCATAGTATGAAGGGTATATTTATTAAATCATTCCGTTCGTAACTCATCGAAATACCCATTTTGATCCTATAAAGTATACCTATTCTTAAACAGCATAAAATTCCGAGACGATCTAGCCGATTCCGTCTGTCAGTCTTTTGTAATCACGTTATCCTTCGAAGGAATTCAAATGGTGTGCTGAATGGTGTCTGCAGGTAGTTTAAGTTCGATAATGGGCTATATCGGTCTTCGATTATGCATAGCTTCCATATAACAGTATCTCATAATTTTTGGCATTTTGTGGATCTTTCCACGGTTTTCCACGGCTGTAAATGTACCATTGGGTTCTTTTAGAGCAATGAAGACCTTTGTATTACTGAATAAAAAATAGTTTAACCCAATTAGTGTCAAAAAAAAAAAAAAAAAAAAAAAAAATACGGCCGTACACAACATTTTACAAATGTGGTGTTCTGTACGCCCCGTCGAATTATTACCTATAATTACCTATAACGTTGTTAACTACAAATAATCAATATTGTTGGAATTTTTAGGGTAGCCACCATATAAGGGCACCCTTCAAATATCCCAATCTTGATTGAATCTGGATCTTGATAATCGATATGGCTGTAATTTTGTATATTGCATTCTAATAAATTACCAAATATTCCCGCCAAAAATTACCATTATTTACCTCCACCACCCAATC